CAATGCTGATATTAGGGAAACTCCTGATAAGAAACCACGTTGGAGAATTCCAAAGAAACGCAAAGCTGGGAGCAGCACTCAGGCGGAGCATGAGTATAATGCAGAGCGCGATGAGCGCAACCCTAGCTCTAGGGAAGCAATGGAAATGAGGGAACATTATCCGAAACATATAAAAAGAGAAATAACAAATTATGGAGATGTTAGTGATATTACAGAAAGCCTGCCAAACCCAAGATTTCATCGTGTGCCAATCCAATATCAATGGACCTCGGCCGAAGTGGCCCTTCAAGAGAAGAGGCGTCATATGTATGCATACCAATATGAAGCACAAAAATTTGCACCACATCAATATGTGCCGCAGTACGCTGCGGATCAATTCGTACCGCGATATATATCGCATCATCAATATGCACCACGCCCATTTGCACCACACCAATATGCACTACACGAATATGCACCACAACAACATGCACCACACCAATATGCACCACACCAATTTGCACCACGGCAGTATGCACCACGCCCATTTGCACCACACGAATATGCACCACGGCAGTATGCACCACGCCCATTTGCACCACACCCATTTGCACCACACGAATATGCACCACACGAATATGCACCACGCCCATTTGCACCACACGAATATGCACCACACCAACATGCACCACACCAATATGTACCACACCAGCTTGCACCACAGTATTATATACCAAGAAGACCACCTATACCGCGAGACCAAGCTCCCACAGTGGAAGGATACAAGGATTGGGAGCGTTCAGTTGCTGCTCACCAATTTCAAGGCTATAGGGACAGATCGTACCGGACAAGGGGATATGATGTGAGGCAACCGTCAGTTAACGAACAAAGAGATCTAGCTGTGGAAAGATCGATCAAGACGGAACGCTTTGATCGCAGACAGCCATCAGCTCCCGTACCGAAATATCAAGATGACAATATGGAAATATCATATAAAACGAAAAGTCATGAGACTAAACAGCCATCAGTTACCGAAAAGATAAAGCCAGCTGGCAATCTGGAAAGATCCTATAAGGCAGGAAATCAAGAGAATAAACAGAGAGAGCCAGCTGGCAGTGTGGAAAGATCCTATAAGACAAAAAGTCATGAGGCTAAACAGAGAGAACAAGCTGGCAATTTGGAAAAATCCTGTACGACGGAAAGCCATGAGAATAAACAGAAAGAGCTAACTGGCAATCTGGAAAGATCCTATAAGACAAAAAGTCATGAGGCTAAACAGAGAGAAAAAGCTGGCAATTTGGAAAAATCCTGTACGACGGAAAGCCATGAGCCTATACAGAAAAAGCTAACTGGCAATCTGGAAAGTCATGAGAGTAAACTGAGAGAACTAACTGTCAATCTGGAAAGTCATGAGAATAAACAGAGTGAACTAACTGGCAATCTGGAAGGTCATAAGAGTAAACAGAGAGAACTAACTGGCAATCTGGAAAGTCATGAGAATAAACAGAGAGAGCCAGCTGGCAATTCGGAAAAATCCTGTACGACGGAAAGTCATGAGAATAAACAGAGAGAACAAGCTGGCAATTTGGAAAAATCCTGTACGACGGAAAGCCATGAG